CTTGACGATTGTCTAGCGCCGAGAGATTAACCCCTCAAGGCGCACGTCAGCCAACACTTGAGTATCGAATGTGGCCCTCGAGGTCATCGAGGATTGAGTGATTATGAGTACTACATAGTACGCCATCATTGCGACCGCTTGCATGAGCATGCATTGCGTCTGCGCGGTTTTATACTAGTCTCGCTTGTGAAGCCTAACTGATTTCTGCGTCGGAAAGTTATGGGTTGAAAACTAAAGGAACTAGGAGTGTTGTTGTATTGTGTGTGTGTGTTTTCAATTTTATGTTTTAAAGAGTGGTGTAGCACATGGTGAGTGAGATGCGTCCTAGTCGACCGATGACAATTTGTGCTTGGGACTTCATCCCCCCAATGCACCGATTCGCATGCGGGTCCGATAGAGGCGTGAGACCGCACGTACCCCTTATGCTATAGCGTATGAGAAACGCCCTCGGCTGACCCACCTCTGCGATTACAAATGATTAGCTTTCGTATTGTGGACTAGTAACTCGGCGGGGATACGCCCACCGAAGGGAGGTGACAACTCCCGCAAGGTGGAGGTAAGTTATACCTCGTGTAGAACCTATCCTGTCGTAGGGGCTAGGGAGAGGTATGGTTGACACACTCAACCGGAACATTTGCGGAAGCTCCATTAGTATTCGCGATTACGACCAACTCCTACGTGACGTGACCAGGAGGGTCCAGCCCTGCGTGGGACTGATGCGCTCCACAACGCTACTCTGACCACTTTTGGTTTTGGTCTTAATTTCAAACATGCGGTCAGTAGTTTGCTGCAAGGAGTGTCCTTTCAACTTTGTGTCAATGGAGTGCTCTTCCCACCAATCCAACTGCGGCGATCAGTGAGACAGGGATGTCCCATGACGCCTTATCTGTATTTACTATACGTGGAAATCATGCATATCTTGATAAGGGTCAACACAGATATCTCGGACGTGGTGATTCTAAACGAAGAACGTTTGAGATTCGAGGCATTTGCTGACGACTCCGTGATGTTCACCCCTTTAATCAGTCATGCCTTTTTTGCATTTAGAGACATAATTAAGCAGTTTCGTAAATTATCACAAGTGGTTGTTAATTGGTACAAATCGTGTATGTTAAACCCGCATGGCCGCAGGGGGTTCCACCACCAAACCATTGGGGCTTGCGGGTAGTGGCTTCTTCTCAGCACGTCAAGAGATTGTTGGGACACAGACTTTCCTTTGATCCCCAACTGATAAATTATTCTTCACCATCGCTAGCAAGTCTTTGAACTACATTGCGACCGTGGACTGAGTTCAAGGGTGTCAGCCATTTCGGCTAAGCCGTGGTTATCAATAACGTTGTTCTGCCAACTCTTTGGTACATGAGAGTTGTTCTCCATCTGGACCTTCCCTCGATACAAATGATCCACCAAATGGTCGCACATTATCTCTGGAAGGAAAAAATGAGTGACAATTGTTTTTACCGAAAGTGGTCTAGCAGATCATTATACAACCCAAGAGAAATAGGGGGCTAGCAATCCTAAACCTTGAGCGACAGATAGCTGCTTTGCTTTCTAGGTGGATCCCATGGGTGATTTTGGAATCCCCTTTTGGTCTATGGCGCCAACTGGCTGAAACGATTTTACTCTCTGAATAGGAGTGATAAAATTATTGTTGTGTGTGGCTAGCTACGCTGAGTTGGAAATACCTTAGGAAATGGTTGTCGCCGAGCATTTGGGCACACATACTTAAGGTATGGACAAATATTACTTACCCATTAATGATAGCTGAACAAATATTACTTAAGTGTCCTCAATTGCAACCCCCACCAATGATTGCTGAACAAATATTACTTACCCAACCCCTATTCAACAACGCTCAAATTTCTGACTCCGGAGGGATTTCGATTTGGATTTTCCGGCCCTCTGGAGTTTGGGAATGCATGGATGAGTCGAGGGATTGGTATGCTGGCTGACATATGGTACGTGACAACAACGGATCGGAGACCTATTCACACCCTCATCCTGAGACTGATTGGACTGTGGCATCAAAATTAACACTTTCACCAATTGCAACAGATTGTACCGCAGGATTGACTTTAAACAATGAGTTGGGGGGTGGTGCCTGTGATGGGCCTGTGGTACAAGCACAAGGACCATCACAAACCAAAACTAATTTGGAGAGTTGAAAACTATGGAGCAACAGTTGATATACTATTCACTTGCTAGGAAGTGCAGAGCGAGATATATTCCCGGGAGAGTCGTTGCGACTTTCTCAAAAGCATACTCCTCTACATCCTTCGGGCCAGTTGCTGCCGGATTGTGTGTTGGAACAAAGTGACAGTTATCGACCTTATTACTTACAAAGAGCAGCCTACGATTTACCGGTTGACCCGACAGACTGGGTCTGGTCCCGTCTGGACACAGCAAAAAATTGACAACTTGCTGATCTCACTCGTCTGGGCTATTTGATTTCAACATCGGAATTGGATGTAAACTAGGTAGTAGGAAGAAGATGGATGGCAACGGGATGGATAACAAACTCGCTACGAAATTGGTTCAAGCATTACTTGGTTTCTAGAAACAGTTGTTGGACCTGACAGTAAGCAAACATGCAAGTTTGCTTTGGCTGATAATGCATCAAGCATTGCATGTTGCTTCTTGGTGTGCACGAAGATTGGTGAAGGCTGCTCCGAAATGCATACTTTGTTGGGGAACATAAATGGAGGACATTCATCACCTTCTATTACTTTGTGAAATATCTAGACCATTTTGGGAGTGGGGGAGACGGTCCAACTACTCGGTGGGATGATTAGTTTGTGTTTATTGGGGCAACTACTCGGTGGGATGATTAGTTTGTGTTTATTGAGGCAACTACTCGGTGGGATGATTAGTTTGTGTTGATTGGGGTGGCTTCAAGAAGACGATCATCGCCTGACCATTTGGCCGATGCAGAAGAAACTATTCGAGAAGCCATTGCATGAACGATATGAAATCTTCAGAATGCTGTTGTGAGAAGGGCAGAACATCTCACGCCCCCAATGGTGAGAGCAGAAATCAAATACGCTATAAAGCAAGCTATCTTGGTAGACAGGGAGTACAATACCGCCAAAGCCTTATCATTGTTTGGTTGCAGATCGGGAGCTTTTCCGGATCTTTTTACATTGGATTCTCCTGCAGGACAATTCCCTAGGCTGCTTTTCTCTGTCCCTTATTTTTGTGAAATTTTGAAGTGGTGTTTTTATCTAATTGTATGATACAATAGGATAGGAATACGATAGGAATAAATTCTAATCACATTTGCTGCGGTGGAGATGGGATTCAGCCACATACGTAGATTGTAGGCTTGCTAAGAGTGAATGGCGGTAGGATCAGGTTTAGAATTGGTTCTTTTATATAACTTGTTAGACTTCTCTCCCTTAAGTGCTTCATAGGCTAAGGTTGGAAATGGGCCCAGTCGAGAGTGCCTTGCCCAACTCCACGTCGTTGTGGCAAAGTTGGCAAACTATGTAAGGGATGCCGGACCTGCTTTCCGGCTATTAAAATAAAATACGAGGCTCAAGGACTCTGTAAGCCCTTTCTGGGCCCTGTTTGAGCAAGTACGGTCGTCGGCCGCCCTAAGTGAAGGCGGGCCTTACAAGTGACGAAAGACCTATTCTTTTGTTTAACACAACTGCAGGAAAATTCAGGCAGGTATGCAGCGCCAGTTGGTTAAGTGCGCCTATGCCCTGCCTACCAATATCTCGGGCCTCTTTGCCCTTTTCCGAATGTATCGGAGGCAAGGTCTGGGCAGGCCACCTGGTAGTTGGGCACGGGTAACTACCACAGACCCTGTGGAGGAATCCCAGGATAGGGGCTTAGCCACTTAGGGCTACTGGAAACTTTTGGGGAGAGGGCCAGACCAGCTAGATAGTCCACGACTAGCAACCATTTTCCACAAAGGAAAGGGCCTGCTGCTGGCTGGACATTCGGACACGCACTGCTTATGCGCAAGCGCTGCAACGCCAACTACTGAAGCGATTGCCTACGTGCTCACGAGCAAGCAGGGTGAATGCAGACAGCCATAGCCAGTCTGGTCTACGCAGTGCTAGGTGAGGAGCATGGTGGTTTTCGGGTGCATGCGGCATCCTATGTTACCGCACGTTCATTGAACGTGTGTTCCGCATTCAGTTTTTGAACGCTGTGAACGCGCGTTCACTGAACGCCCCTGAACGCGATTGACGCGTTCGCGCAGGGGTCTGTCGGGGCTGGGGGGGTGCCTCTGAGGCCACGGGAGCGTCTGCAGTGTTTAGGGAAGGCTGTGGGGAGGTCGTAGTCCCGAAAAAAAAAAAAAAAAAAAAAGGCCCGCGTTTCATCGCGGGGCGATATATAGCGGGGGCAGCGTTCGCACGCGACACAGTCGTGCAGTGCGCGTCAAGCAATCCCCACGTTCACTTGTCGAAGTGCTGCACACGCATTGCGAATGAGTGAAAGCGCGCGCGCGCGCGCGCGCGCGCGAGAGAGAGAGAGAGAGAGAGAGAGAGAGAGAGAGAGAGAGAGAGAGAGAGAGAGAGAGAGA